TTTCTGGGCTGTTGAAGTCGTGATATATGAAGCGATTAACATTAAAGGTGCCTAATTGATTCGACCAAAGACCAGCTTATTTTATGGAGCTGGGGCAGTGAAGGCCACTGGAGAGCTTAAGCTGAGCCGAAGGGGCAGTCAAAATAAATTTTCATTAAGAAATTATCGCTCGTGTGTTGCTTAAATTTAAATTAATTATATATGGTTTATCATCAAGTAAATGGCGGCATACAAGGACACGTAGCCAACGCCCACGCCACTCACACACACACACACACACACACACACACACACACACATGCATGCAGCTGCAACAGCAACAGATTATTTATGCCTTCAGTGAACGCATATACCACACCGACGACGACAACGATAAAGGGAGCTGTACTCGGCGCTGCTTGCCACAGAGCTCGTACAATATTAAATTGCATGAAGTAAATAAGAGTAAAGTACACACCAGCGCACACACACACACACACACACATTCAGTCTGGGGAGTCCTTGTGCCTATACCGACGGCAGCTTAAAATTTTGTTCAGGGCTACAAAAGCAGCTGTTAATGGAATCACTTTGAAAGCTGAATGAACTATAAGCTGCGAGCTGTAGGAATATGAGCTGTTGTTATATACTCTATCGTAGCAAATATGGACCGTTATTATATACTCTATCAAGCAGTATAAAGAGTATTACGGCGACGTTTAGAGAATGAAAATGTGGCATGTATTGTCTAGTTGAAGAGGCTGTGTAGCTGAATTACTAATGATATTATATGTTAAAGATGAGATGGTAATGTGGCCAGAGAGCTTAAGCTTTAGGATTTTCCGATTTTTTTTTTTACCCCATAATTTGAGGGAATATTAGCTTTGGGAAAATTTATATAAAGGCATGTTCGTCTACTCAGCCGGCAGCCCTCTTATATAGTACAAGTTGATCATTTTTATCGGAAACTCAATCCTTGCTAAGACTACTCTAACAGCACATTCTACAACATTTTTTTGATGCTGATGATCTGAAATCCATTTCAAAAGCCATAAAGCCTGACAGCCACAACCCAGCTAACCCCGCACCTAAATGATCGGCTCTACTTTCGAGAGTATACGTCATAGTGTGCACTTTGGAACTAGTTCGCATGGAGCGAACCGAGCCTCGCTTTGGTGTGCCATGCGTCTTGCTATTGAGTGCGGATTAATCGGGCTCACTTTGTCATAAATAATGCAAACCAAACGCTGCGCCGGCATTCAGAGGAGGAGAGCAGTCGGGCTGTGTTTGTGGTGCTGGTGCTCGGTGGCTCAATATGCAGTTAGCTGCGCTCAAACGTGGTGCAATTACTGCAAAGCTATGGCAGGTCCTGACAGCTCCTGCCAGCCATTGCCAGCTCGAGCCCGCTCGTGTCGGCAATGCCTGGCGTGTTCGTACTTAATGACTTTTTCACGTTATGTGCGTGCGCTGACATTTTCTTGAGGCTTTTTTGGTTGTGGGCTCTGCCACCTGTTTTCACCTGTTGCCTGCTGACTGCTGACTGCTGCCTGCTGCATTTAATTGCAAAGCAAGTTTGCATGAATTTGCGGCTGCTGGTGATGACAATTTCAAAGCTTGAATAGGATCAGGGGCGAGGCCTTGGTCCATGTGGTCCGCAAGCCAACATTATGGTCCACTTTGGCTTCTGGGCTGCGGCTTAGCCGCTTCATAAGTAAGTGCTCTTAAGTAAAGCTCATATTTCTCTGGAGCAAAAAGAAGAAAAATACGAAATAACTTCAAAGCTATCTTCAAAGAAAGAAAGAGCATRAAATAAATCGCTGGCAGCCAAATCGAAGGGCAGCTACAAAGCCCAAACACACACTCACACACACACACACACTTGTTTATCTATATATACAAACATACATATTTATATATGTATAAAAGTTTGTGCGCTTATCATAAAATGTTTAATAAAACACATCTGCCTGCCCTTAAAGGAATATTATTATATATGAGCCACAGCGGGATTTGGCCAGAAGACTTGAATTGGGCAAGCAGTGGAAATGATTTAAAATATATTTTTCCTTTTGACAGCCACATGCCAAAATCTTGCTTTAAATGCGGCTATTAATAATAATAAGAAGAAGATGAAAAAAAAAAACAGGTCTAAAACGAAATTCAATAAGCGTGATTTGAACAGCCAACGGTCAACACTGTCTATCGCCCTACCATTTCACTCACTCTCTCTCTCTCTCTCTCCATCTCTCCTGCATTTCTCTTCTGCTTACTGCGCCTGAAAACTGGGCAAAATATTTAAGGCGGTCGGCCTAAGGATGCCAATAAATCAAAGCGGAAAAAAGGTTGCCGAACAATGTGCGGCATGTGTAGAATTTGCTTTTGGACCACACACATACACAGGGAATTACAGACCCACTCACACCTACACACATGCACACGTTCAAAGAGTTATGCGCTCCTGGGGCACATTTTGCGAGTGTGAAAAATATTGAGTTTGGGTTTCAGTTTCAATTTGTCTTTAAGTGTCATCTGGAATGAAAACAATTAAACAAATTGATTGAAGCGCTTAAAACTCGAAACGAAGAGTCAAGAGTGTATTATGGAAAATTCTCTTCTGGTAATCAATTTTTCATTGTATATCAATTTAGGCTTTGGTTTTGACTTTCAATTGTTTAATTGTTGTTTCAACGTATTTTTAGTAGAAGTTGAAAAAAATTCTGCTTCGAATCATATAATATATAAATGTTAAAATGTTAGTTAAAACTAGGAAAATAAGGCTCTGTGCAACACTTTTCCCTGTATAAAACATGATTAAAATGAAAACTTTATAAACATATTTAGTTTCGATCAATTATAAAGTATTCTATCAATGAATTTCTGCTGAAATATTTTTCGAAATTTTTGAAACACTCCGCAAAACATTTTACAGCTTCTAAAATAATTTGAGAAACTTTACGAAATATTTGATATTTACTGCAATAAAATGCATTTTTGTTGTTTCACTTTAACAGAAAAAACACACACAACATTCTCTCCATAATTTAGTTATACTTATGTGTATTTCACTTGAGAAACCCTTCAAATTCCTAATTGTTTACAAATATTTCAATTAAAGCCAAAAAACTAAAACTCAAACCGAATGAATTTTTGTCGTTTTTGCGGCTTCGTCGTTCGAGTTGGTTAATTGCATTTTTTGCACATTTCTTTGCGTCGCGGCGATGGTCACGTGCATAAACCAAGCCAACGCAAAACGAAGGCAAAAACTCACAATTCAATAAAATTAATGGAAAAACACATACACGCATACACTCACACACACACACTCGTACATAGACGGCCTGGGGCAAAGGAAGTGTCAGAAATCTATGAGTAAGAATTTGACCAATGCAATCGTGAGGCGAGCAGTAGCAGTCGTCGCCCGTCTGCCCAAGATGCAGGCCAGTTGGAGGGGGGGGAGGGCGTTGAGGACGTCAAAGCAAAGCCAGGGTGCGAGCGGTTTGGTGGGCGTGGCGCGTGCTAAGAGCGCAAAGCTTGTAAGCGGCTTAAAGTTGTACAAAGTTTTTCAAGCGCATTCGCCAGTCACCAAAGGCGACGCAGGAAAAAGTTATGAGTGGCTGTGGATCACACATACATAAGCACATACACACACACACACACACACACACACACACATACACACATATACATGCGCACATGCACATTTACACTCTCATACAAAGAAATATGTAAGCTTGTCGCGGCTCCATTGCAAAGCCCAGGGAAAATAAAGTAAGGAGCTACACTTGGAGAAAATGTGGAAAGTGCAGTTAATAGACTGAAAAATAATTTTAAATAAGGTGATCAAATAATATTGATGGAAAAATAATTGATTAATTGAGTACCTTATGGAAGTCTTATGCTGCATTTAAGCTGCTTTATATATAAAAATAATTTTTTGTAAGTTAAAAGTATTCGCATAGTTTCTCGCTGTGTATAGATTGCTAACGGCAACTGGCTTTGATGGCGGCCGCCTCGCCTACGTCGTCTCTGTCGAGTGCAGAAAAAAGCGCCCAGCTGGAGCATGTAAAAGGATTAAGTTCGCTTAATATCATTGATGAGCGTGCCAAAGACCATAGCCAAGCACAGCCGAAGGAGCAGCTAGCAGCCAGCAGCAGCAGCTTCTTCTATTTCAGCTCTCACTACACTCAGGCCGAGTGTCCGTAATGCTTGCTTTCTATGGGACTTTGTTTCAGAGAGCACAGATTTGAGCTAAGCGGCTGAGTCAATAGTTGAGGCGCTAAAGCAGCTGCTGCATTCCCAGCTGCGAGCTGCAGCAGCGGGCAAATAATTTTCATGAAACTTACATTGAAGCAACCACCCGCTCAGCTGTGTGCCCCGAAGGTCAATCGTGGCCTAATTAAAAATGCAATAGCCGCCGCTTAAAAAGTAAACAAATGCCAGCAAAATAAAAAATAAAAGTACGAACGATGAAAATTATTGCACGAGTTACTCACGCAGCCAACCTTATGCAAATATCTTGAAGTGCGTAGCGCGTAACGAAAATTGAAATTAAAGCGAAAAGAAAAATGAAAAGCTTGGAACAATACACAAATGTAATGAATATTTACGAATTCGTAAGAACAACGTCAAAGTGCAAAACACGTGCAAAATCTCACAAATATTCCCACACACATTCCCTCAACTGAATGTGAAAAACAGCAGATAGAGTGTGTGTGTGTGTGTGCGTGTTTGTGTATGTGTGGGGTAGAGTAAAGATTGCCTTTTGTATTTACGCTCGAAAAATTACAGAAAATTTTCATTTAATTATGAAAATACGTAGCCAGAGCCGAAACTCGTCAGTGTGCTCAGCTGCCAAAGTTGATTATTTGACAGCCATTCCACGTGCTAATTAAAAGCAAAGGCAAAAGTTGTCAGACTGCTCGGCAAACTGGCCAAAAGTTCGTTTTTCCCAACCTATGTTTAACCAATGCCAGCAAACCTCGAGCCATAATCGCAATTGTATCTTTACACTCGGGACTTACCCTTTTTTCTTCACACGCCCACAGAGCGACGAGGGAGAGAGAGACGCCTGGGTGTCGTTAGAGCTGCAATGAAATAAACATTTGATGTACTTCAATTAGTTTGTTGCAATTGTGCAAGGATGTTAAGGCTATATGGATGCTCTATGGTATATAGATATAAGGGAAAATGCAGTATAGATAGTATGCAGTATAGACTTATAGAGTTGGAACAATCATGAGAGTATATTAAAAATTGATTGACTAGTTAATTGAATTGCTCTGAAATAAACAAATATTTCATTTATGTTTATTAAGATTTTGCTTTGATAAAGGAACATAATATTGTTGATTGATTGATTGACTGATTAAAATTGCAGTTTAAATATGTCCTTTACTCAAACCCTTTAAAAATTTATTGATTAATTTATTGACTGATTGAAGATAAACGCAAAGCATAAACTGTAAAACTCAGAAAGTTGATTTTTGTTTCAAGAAAATTGCGTTTTCTAATTGCAGTGAAGAAAAGGATAGATAGCTAGATACTCTTAGCCATATAATATTTGAAGTGAGAGTATTCAAGTTTCAATATATTCACTCTCTATGTCTTTTGACTGCAGTCTAACTGAAAGCTGTAGTCATTCAATACTCATTTCAGAATCAAGTCTAGTCAGAGTCTTGTCATCGTTAAGTCAAAATGGATGAGGCAACTCCTTGGCTTGATTTCTCATTGACAGAGCTGGCGAACAGAGCACAGCATAAGCTGCTCATATTTACAAAATGTCTAATGAAAATATTTCCTACGAAGCGGATATACAGCGCTCGACTACGTCTGCAGAGGGAAAAATCAAATTAGCTGCATGAATGACGCTGGCAAATGCGCTCGCCGGATTAACAGGGGGAAGGCATGCAGATAGATAAGAGTGGGCGCAGAGCTAAGGGGCGCGGGCGTGGCAAGTGCTACTACAGCATTTGCCACCAACGGTAGTTTCTATGTCTGTTTGGCTCTGCAGAGTGGCAGCAGACGGAAAGATTTCTTTTACGTGATTGATGCAGCTTGATGTTTTTGTGGGATAATTGCTGTCCAGCCAGATGGGGGGAGACATTCGAAGTAGAATTTTTGAAGTGCAGGAGAGCTCCCAGGAGCTTAACTGTAATGTACTTATTGCATTACTCGCTAATGCTATTCGGCTTGTAGTCTTCCCGTAATTATTCGATAACTGTCGAAATTTGTCTACTGTTTGTTGAGCTGTTCAGCTGTTTGTTTACATGTATCTAGCGTGTGTATGTGTGGTTATGTTTGTGGGTTCCATAGCCAACCAAATCATGGAGAATCTGAAAATCTCAACTTTTAACTCTGCTTCTTCGAGCTTTTGAATGCATGAGGCGCACGACAAAAACAAAAATCAGATAACGCATTTAAAATAAGTAGAAAGCACAAAAGCGCACGACTGAGTAGAAGAGGAAAACAACAACAACAACAACAGCAACAACAGCATGAATGGTAGCAAAACATTGCAAAAGGCGACATACAAACAAACAAAAAACAAGCCAAAAGTAAGGACCCTGAGGGGCGGGCAGGGGCGGTTCGAAGGCTGCGAGCAGAAACTGTATCAAGTAACTGAGCCGCGCCGAGCTGCATAGTGAAAATGCAACTGTGCGGAAAACTGTGCGAACATTTTCATTTTCAATGCAGCTCTTGGCACACAAACAGAGCGAGAGAGCGGGAGAGCGGGTGGTGGGAGAGGTAGGCAGAGACGAAGGGATGGTCGCTCAAGAGGAAGGGTAGCAGAAACAGACCCAGAAACAGAATCAGAATCGGAATCAGAATCAGGACACTAACAACAACTAGCAAATAGACAACTTTAAGTACAAACCCCGTTTACACACACACACACACACACACACACACACACACACACACACACACACACACACACACACATATGAATCCAACAAAAACTTGCAGCGAATCGCAGAAAATCGCTTAGAATGCAGTGCGCCGCAAAGAAAAAAATGTTGCAAAAAATGAGGAAAAAAAAATGAGAGAAAAAATTTGGAAGAGCCACGAACAAAAGCATATGGGAGTCAAGTGGAGGCTCCACCTCTACCTCCAGCGCCGACTGTCGACTGTCGTCTGTCGAGTGCCGGGCTTTTCTTTCAATTTGCAACATTTTCTGTTGCACGTTGCACGTACCCCAAAAATAACTTCCGACGTCGCTGCCTGATTTTTTTCCGCCTTAGTCAACTCGCTGCGAAATTGCAGGAAGCGATTCTATTTAAAGTTGCCAAAGTCTCCCCTTCCCAAAAAAGGGGAGAGCAATGGAAATACAAAATAAAAACTAAAAACTAAAATAAAGCTGCGACCGCGGCAACTCGGTTAAGGTTAAGCGACAAAACGCTGCAACTATTGCAGTACATAAAATATATTTCGCTCTCTCTCTCTCTCTCTTTCTCTCTCTGTCCCTATCGCTTTGCACACTTTGTATCTATTTGGATTTGTATAATTTATAAAAAAATTCAATTAGCCACGCTGTCCAAAACAGAAGCCCCAACATAGCCAATAGTTTGCTTTAATGCCGCCACCGCTGCCACCGCCGTTACCCCCATTAACAAAATAAACTTTCTCATCTGCCAATCATGCGGGGGGCCCGGCCCAAACGGTCAGTTGCTCAGCCCCTCGCACACAGTCTGTCAGCCTGCCCGTTAACGGAAACCTTTAATAAACCCATATAAAACATGGCAAAAATTACAACAATGCTCGCTGAATATAAACACAGTGGGGCAGTTGATTAGGCAGTAAATGGAAAATCTTATAGGGATCCATATGAGAAAGTAAATATTTGGAATTGTTTAGAAACCTTTGAGCTTATAATGAATAAAAGTGATGTTAACTAATTATTCATTTTAAATTCATGGAAAATTAACTAGTTTGATTCATGAGGATGCCTTCTTTAAAAAGTCATTTAAGAATTCACACTTTTAAAATATAATATATATTATATTTTTTCATTTTTTTATTCTCTATAAATATTTCTCATATTTTTCACTGACTTTTCTATATGGTTAATATGTTGTTTATAAATACACATCTTATTTATTTTAATATTTCTAATTACTTTTTTAGACAAAAAAAAAAAAAAAGGTTTTTACAATTTTAATTTCTGTGGAATGCATAACTTTCACTCATTCAATATACAACTATTCAAGTATATTTTCTTCTATTAAATTTTGTACCACTGTATGCATGAGCCATTAGCAAAAACTTTGTAGCGAAAAAAAATAATCAAAAGCTGCGCTTCAATGTTAAATGAATTGTTGTCTCAACTGCTCGATGGGTAGGGGTCCTCCCCTATCTATATACTATATATACATATACAATATAAGTGTGTGTGTGTGTTGCTCTACAGATGCTGGCTAAAGTGCTGGCCAAAAAGTTAGTGAAATTCATTTTTTGAAAACTGTAAAATAAGGTAGAGTAAAAAAAAAAACTAAAAAAAAATGTAGCGGTTAAAAAAAAAAAAGTTTAAACAACTTTGGCAACTAAATTTAAGTAGAAAGCATGAAGGGAGTTGGACAGAGGTGAGATCGGGGTCGGAGTAGAATCAAAGGCGGCAATGGAGATGGAAAGCTGGTTGCAGGCGATGCAGCAGGCGGCAAACAGTCGTGACAAAGTTGGGGGCTAGTTCTCCTAGCTGTTGTTCTTCTTCTTCTTGTTGTTGTTGCTGTTACTCACTGATAAAAACTGCAGCAGACGCAAAACTAATTTGCGTGGTTATGTAAATTAGAGTTGGAGTTGGTGTCTGCGATAAACTTGTGGAGGGTGAAGAGCGGCTAAAAAAAATAAAAATAAATGGCAAAAAAGTAAAAGAGATTCGCAGCACAATGCGTAGAGCAAGCAGCTCCGTACAGATAGAAGAAGCACTCTGCCAGTTCACCTCGGTGACCCGAAGAACGGCAAACACAGTTAGTTCTATGCACCTGCACGAGTGGGTGTGTGTGTTGTGTGGGTGAGTGTTGTTTGTTGTGTGTGTGTGCTTGTGTTTTTGTTGCCTAATCCTAAGACCACAACCAGATAACCAAATCGTTGCACAGACAAAGATGCCGCCCGCCCTAACAACTAAATAATGTGCAGAGAATTTAGTGTTCAAAACGAAGGCTGTGCACATGCACTGCAAGAATAGTGTGAGTGTGTGATGCTTAACCCTGAGCTGTTAGTTGTTGAGTGTTGAGTAAGAGCAGCTCTGCAGCTCTCGATTATAAGCGACTGAATAACTGCCGTTCATCCTTTACCAATAAATCGCTCATTAAGTGCTGAAAGAATGGCTCAAATCCAGGATACAATTATGGCAAATGAACTCACAGCTAATGAACTCTCTCTATATATCAAATTAGAGTGTTTTACTCTTTTTTCTCTGAGTGTATCGAGGAGCTAGCAGACAACAGGCAGCAAGTGCACATGGCAATGGCAGCTAGCTAAGATAATTTTTCGTCGAGCAACACACACATCTACATAGGCGGCAAACAGTTATTTAAAAGAGCCTAGGCATATAGGTGGGCGAGGAGGCAAAGCTTAGGCATAATTTGCCCAGTAGCTGGCAAAGGCATAAGCTCAAGTCTAACAAGCACAGAAAGAGAAGGAGAGAAAGAATGGCAGATAGAAACAGAGAGAGGGAGTGAGTGAGAGAAAGAGGTTTGGGGGTCACTGTAAATGCATCTAACAGACATGCATTGAGGTCTGTCGGCTGCATTGTCGGCTGCCTTGGCAACCACAGCAGAGCAGTAGCAGCTAGTGCTCCTCCTTAACAACCGAACGCAGTAGTAGCAGTAGGTGGAGACGCGTCTGAACTCAGCACCTAAAGTCATATTAATAATTTTGGTTGGGATTTTGAGGCTGGCTGTCGTTGGGCCGCAACCGCAACAACTTGCAGCTGAGTTGCAGCTGGCGTTACAACCAAACATTTACTCCAGATTCGGGATGCGTCCACATGCATCCAAAGTCTGTGAGTAATCCTTGGTTACACTTGCCTCCTTGCCATGTCTGCCGCTATCTTAGTCTTGCTTCTCTCTCTCCCTCGCTCTCTCTC